GAAAGCAGAGCGCCGATCCTGTGATCGGGCCAGCGCTGCAGAAGGAGCACCGCTTTGAAAGTCCACAGGACTTCCGACCGGAAAAAAGAGAAGAGAAACATTGACAACGCGACATGTGCCGAACTCTTGCGACGCCAAAAAAAAGCGGAGCCGTCTGCGCCGACACTGGCGCGCAACTTGCCCGCGTCAGGTCGCGCGTAACCTGGCATCGCTCGGACGTGTGCATTTTTTTCTCGGCGAGGACCATCGAGGAGCATTCTTGATCATTTGGCGAAAAAACCACGCACGAAACCGAAAAAAACACAGGGAATGGACGTCCGAGCGATGGCGAGGTAAGCGCCCTCGCCTCCAACGTGGCGTGCCGCGCTGCAGGCTGCGTCCGCCCAAGGTCGCGCGCAGGCGCAATCGCCTCCAGTGTGGCGTGCCGCGCTGGCGGCCCGCGTAAGCCACCGCGCAACCTCCTCCTCCTCCTCCTCCTCCTCCTCCTCCTCCTCCTCCTCCTCGACGCAGCCTGGCGAACAAAGGTCGCTGTTTCATCTCGCGCACGGTCGGACCGAAGTAGAAGGTCGAGGTCGGTTCGGGGAGGGTACCCTGATGTTCTTCGTGCTCGTTGGAGGTTCTTGTGCATCCTGGGGCAGGGCTCCCTCGAATGCTCTTCAGTTTGGCCGGCGGAGGGCCCCATGCTCTTGAAGGATGTTCTTCTGTCCCAGGTCTGGCCCCTGGCACCACCCCCTGCCCGCGCACATGCCTCGGGCTATGGTGCGGTCATCCCCCTCTTCCTGCCCCCCCCCTGTCCGGCGCACCCGAGGACCGTCTGTGCCCTCCCGGGAAGGGGTCAGGAGTCGGACGGGGCCAGGACGAGGATAAATCCGTTCTAGAGCGTTCCAGAACGCTCTGAGAAGGCCGCGGCGCCCGAGATCTCCTCCAGAGCCGACGGGTCTCAGAAGTTCTCGACTCATCCTCACCCGAATTTGTCTTCGTCCGGGCTTCGTCTGAAAGAGTCCTGGGGTCTGCCCCAGCTCCGACAGTACGATTCTTAAGTCGGGAGCGCATTCCCGAAGGCTCCAATCTGCTTGAGGTCCAGGATCCCATCCTGGACCGACGAAGTGGGCGAGGAGGGCATGATAGGGGTTCTGATATTCTTAGACATGCGGTTGTGAGGGAACTTGTGAACTTCTTAGCCGCCAGGCCGTCTGGGACACGACACACCCCAGCACGAAGATGAGGAAAACGGATCCGAAAGTCTGGACAAGGTTCTAGGCAAGCCACTGGGAGCTGCGAGCTGCTCGAACATGCCTGGGCGCCAGCTAACCCGATGTTTGTCGTCGCCTGGTACCCTTTCGATGCGAAGGCGCAGCACCGCAACTTGAATTCTTGTTCGGTCCCCTTGCAAACTCGCTGTATGCGGGACTGTCGAGCAACGCGCTTGCCGCAGCCGAGGTCGATGCCAACGCACGGTGCCTGCATAAGCGCACGAATACTGATACGTCTCGCATTGAGTATTTTATCGATCGCCGTGGTCAGGCGATGGGCGGAACTTGAAACGACCACGACCGACTTGAGCATCCGTGACACACGCCACGGTCGCGCCTTCCACGAAGTTGGTTGAGCCGACCACTGTCATAATGCGGTCGTCGGCCCAATTGCGTTGGCTCAAAAAGAGGTGTGTCTCGTGCATCGTGGGTAAAAACGGAATACGTCAAACATCTGGCAAACCTCGTTACACTCCGCAGAAAGAGGAGGAGGACGAGGAGGGAGGCAAAGCAGGAGGAGACGCGGGGCATTCCTGACTCGCTCATCCACTCACTCGCTTGCTCACTTCTTCTCCCTCCTCCCTTCTCGTCCACCCATCCACACAGTCCCCCTAACGCGCTCACGCCTGCTCACTCGCTCTCTCATTGCTTCTCCTCCTCCTGCTGCTCCTCCTCCTCCTCCTCCGCCTCTTCCACCTCCGCCTCCTCCTCCTCCTTCTCCTCCTCCTCCTCCTCCTCCTCCTCCTCCTCCTCCCCCTTTTCCTCTCAAGCCACGGTGGGCCCGGGCGGAGGCCTGTCGTCCAGGGGCTTCATGCGGGGATGCCTCCCCCTGCGGCTTGAGGACCTGGGGTCCCCCTGAGCCTAGGTAACACCTGGTCGCCTTGCCAGGCTTGCTAAAATTTGCGATAGCGATGGATATGCCGCGGCCGCTAGTGGTGATCAAGCTCGGCGGCTCCGGAATGGTGGTGGAGCTTCACAGCCACACCGCACATGACCCTTTCTTGGACGGCCTCCTGCTGGAGCTGAAGTCCAGTGTGCCGAGCGAGACTGGCCTCTTGCAAATGGGCCTGAAGGTCACCGCACCGAACGAGCAGCAGAAGAAGGACAAGGAGTTGATCAACCAGCTCCAACTTGCGCCAGAGGTGATGACGAAGGAGATGATGCTCCAGTCACCATCGGAAGTTGGCAGCCTGAACGACGCGATGGTGACGAAGGTCGCCCCAAGGTCCAGTCGGAAGTGGACCGCCCCAACGACGTGATCGAGAAGAAAGCCTTGCCAAAAACAACAAGGACATCAAGGGTATGGAGGACACCCTCCAACTCTTCCGCAAGAACCACGCCGAGATGAAGCCGCAGCTGAAGGAGCACATCGCCCAGGTGGTGCAGGAGAAGCTGGCCGAGACCACAAAGGATCTTGACAGCATGAAGTTGCAGATGAACGCGAGCAACGCCCGCGTAGACCAAGCCAACGAGGAGATGAAAGAGATGGTGCCCCAGCTCGTCGGTCAAGCCAACGGGCAGATAGAGGAGATGAAGAAACAGCTCCAGACGGAAGTTGGCTCTTCCAATGACAAGAATGAGACGAAGGAGCTGATGGAGCAGTTCACCGGGGCGCAGCTGAAGCTGGCCAATTTCGGAAAGGATCTTGAAAACGCGAAGTTGCTGATGGAGTCTTGCAGCAGTCGCCTCGACAAGGCCGACGTCGAGACGAAGGAGATGATGCTCAAGCTCCAGACGGAAGTTGGAAGCCTCAAAGACAAGATGGAGACGAAGGGCCCAGCCAAGCCACCAAGGACATCGAGGAGATGAAGGAGAAGTTCCAGTTTATCCAGGACAGCCAGGCTGCGACGAAGCTGCAGCTGAAGGAGCAGCCCACCCACGAGATGCAGGAGAAGCTGGCCGAGCACAAGTCCGTCGTGCTCGAACGCACGCAGCCGCGGGCAGAGATCGCCCTGCCGCGCGGCCTCGCGAACGCCAGCGAGGGGACCAAGCAGGCCGCCTTCCGTGAGGAGGCTGCGACGGGCGTGCCCTCTTCCCCCGTGGCCCTTGGTTGGGCCGAGGCAGCTCCTGAACCTCTTGGCAGGCAGGTGCACCGCAGCTGCCTCGGGCGTAGTCCTCCCGCGTGTCGGCCGCGGGCGGGCGCGGAGCGCACTCTGTGACCGAGGCGCCCCTGGGCAGGGCTCGCGAGGCAGCCCCGGTATCGGCAAGTGAACTACAGCTGCGCACCCTCCTGCATCGGCAGGTGAACTATCGGGCGCGATAGTAACTGCCATTATTATCACCGTTGCCTCGATGGCGTGTTCTATCAATCCTCCTCCTGTTCCTCCTCCTCCTCATCATCACCCCCCCTCCTCCCACACTTGCTCGCTCGGCCACTTCGCATTCACTTCGTGTATACCCACGCACCCCTCACTCGGGCCCAAGGGGTCGCAGAAGTGCCACCCGGCCGAGCCCGCGGCTGCTGACGGCCGCCGCACCGAAAGGGACTATGGGAAAAGATTGACAATGAGGGCAAGGCGGAAACCCAGAGCATATGGAAACAGGTGGGGAAATCTGGGATTTCTGTCTGTTGATTTGTGTGTCCCTGGGCCCCTTCACACGCAAGCCATCAAACTACGAAGCGGAGTCCATGCTTCTCCCTTCAGCACAGACGTTCTGCTGCCGGTTTTGCGCGTTGCTTGGCCAGGGTGGGGCGCGCCGCGCGGCGCGCGTGATATGAGGAGCGGTATCGGCCGTTCCACAGCGGGCCTCGCGTTCGGCACGCCTCGTTTTCGGCGGCAGCCGGCAGAAGCAGAACGGCTGCCTGCCGGCGGAAGGCGGCGGGTGGAAAAGTGAGACGCCAACATTCGGCCACGCGCAGAGGAGGGTAGGAAGACGGGGGGAGGCTTCTTAGAAGCAACCCTGCTTCTTAGAAGGCGCCGGCCTTTTCTGTAGATTAAGGCCGGCGCCTTCTACGAAGCAACGAAGCAGCCTGCTTCTAAGAAGCCTTCCTCCCTCCCCGATACCACCCTCTGCGCGCCGCCCCAACATGTCTGGGTCCAGGGCTTCTGAAGCTGGCCGCATGCCGTTCTCACACATCTGCGCCGAGCAGGCTGTTCTCGGGGTCGTGCCCCCGTTCGGGCACGGCGCACGCTGGTTTTGGATGCCAGTCAGGCTCCTTGAGAGCTGAACGACACGCGAGATGCGGATTTCGCTGATGCGCGACGCGGATCTTCCTGAAACTCGTGTTTCCCGCGTCGACGCGGTGTATGTATTTTGCTTGCCCTGCCCAGGCAGCGCGGTCAACGCACGAGGAATTAGTCGTACTAAAATGCATTTGCTTGGGATCGCAGGATGCCTTGGCAGGAGAACTCGCCATCCACGACGATGATCGGACGGTCATTTGTTGGGTTGGGCCCACGTTGCTCCCAATGGATTGGGAGGGAAGTTGGTGGTGGCCGGGGCCTGGTGACTCCCTCGACGTGCACACCTTGGGTAGTTATTATCTTCCTCCTCCTCCTCCTCCTCCTCCTCCTCCTCCTCCTCCTCCTCCTCCTCCTCCTCCTCCTCCTCGTTTATGCCTTTTTGTCACCCATGATCCACATTCTCCTGCTCCTCCTCCTCCTCCTCCTCCTCCTCCTCCTCCTCCTCCTCCTCCTCCTCCTCCTCCTCCTCCTCCTCCTCCTCGTTCGGGGTATTATCCTCATCATCCTCCTATTCATCTTCTCCTCTCCCCGCTCGCCTCTCCCCTCGCGGCCCGCCCCGTCCGCAGCCGCTTGGCTCAAGCCATCCTCGGCCGAGAGGGCCGCCTCTGGCGCGGCCTGTTTTTTGTTGCCCGCGCGCTCGGCACCGCCCGATGAGCGCCGCGGGCGGAGTCGCGAGGCTGGCCCCGACCCTGCGGCAGAGGTTGGCCGATAGGATCCGCCCGTTGGAGTCCGCCGTGGACGAGCTTTCCTAGGGGAACAGACAGTGGCATCAACATGAAAGCTTGGAGGTCCGCGCGGAGTTCTCGGATCGGCGCTGGATCCCCCCTCCTTGGCGCGCGGAGCGCGCCAGGGGCGGCGCCGAAGGCGCCGCCAGAGGGGTCCAGCGCCGATCCGAGAACTCCGCGCGGACCTCCGAGTTGTTGTGTTTCTGTCATTGTTCGTCCCCCTATGTACAAGGGCCTCAACGCGCCAGACTACAATGCGCCGCCAGCTCTCGGGGGCAACGACGAGGAGACGATCAACGCAGTCGCCGTCGGCATGCTCGCCGCGGCCGTGGGGGTGACGCTGGCCGCCGCGGCGCTGGACGTGCTCGGCGGGCGCCCCGCGGGCGAGGGGCGACCCCGCGCCTGGGCCGCCGCGCTGCTGCTCTGCAGCTACTGCGCGCTGATCCCGGGGCTCAGCAGCACCCTCCTGAGCATCACCATGATTGTCAACGTGGTCGGGCACCGCATCAACGTCCACCCTGACTCGGGCAAGCAGGGGAACGAAGAATGGCACGAGCATGAAAAACCTCGGAGGTCCGCGCGGATTTCTCGCATCGGCGCTGGACCCCCTGGAGGCGCTTCCGGCGCCGCTCCTGGCGCGCTCCGCGCGCCAGGGAGGAGGGTCCAGCGCCGATCCGAGAAGTCCGCGCGGACATCAGAGTTTTCATGTTTATGTCATTCTTCGCTCCCCTAGGCAAGCCGTCATGTACCGAGTCCACTCCTGGGCTTGCTCGCCTGATGTACGAGACGGGGTCGACGCTGGGCGCCGTGCTCATCGTTCTCTTTGCCATGGTGGTACCTGCCCTGGAAGTGTCGTTTCTCGTCCTGGGCGAGGTCTTTCGGAACAGAAGCGGGACGGCCTGCGACAGGAGGATAGGAGCCGTCATTCTCTGGGTGCAGCACAGGTCCAAGTGGGCGTCGCCAGACATGTTTGCGCAGATCCTCATGGTGTCCCTCGTCCGGGGCCTGAACCACCCCGACCTCATCCTCGCGGACGCGCGGCTGGACGTCGGTTTCACTTGCTTCGCTTACTTCTGCGTGGGCGCCACCGCCTCCGCCCTGGGCTTCCCGCTGCCCGAGGCGGCCGAGCGCGAGCCGCCAGAGCCGCCCGCGTGGCTGCCGCGCTGGCTGGGCGGGCGCGTGCTCGCTGTTTCCGCGTGGGCCCTGGCCGCCCTGTTCGCGGCGCTGCTCGTGGCCGGCTGCCAGTCGCCGGTCATGTCTCTGCGCATCGACGACAGACCGCTGTACAAGCCCCAGGGGCCGCTGCCCCTGGAGGCGAAGAGGGCCGTCGAGATGCTCGGCGTGGTCCAGATGCTGGGCGCGGACGTCAGCGTCCAGGACTCCGTGGGCGCGCTGTGGGGGTGGGCGGGCGACGGGGAGGTCAACAGCGCCGTCGGCTGCGTGATGCTGGCCGTCTTCGCGGTCGGGGTGGCCGCTCTGGACGTCCTCGCCCTCGCGCTGTGCGCCTCGCTGCTCTGCCTCGCGGGCTGCGACGGCGGCGCCGCGGGCCGTGCGGGGAGCCTGCTGCGATCGGCCACGGCGGTGCTGAGGAGGCTGTCGATGCTGGACGTTGCGATCGTGGGCATCTACCTTGTGACCGTCTGCATGTCCGTGTACAAGAGCATCGGCGTCACGGTGTCCACTCGCAGGGGCCTGCACTACCTGCTGTGCGCCGAGGCCGTCCACCTCGTGCTCCACCACGCCGTCTCGGGCGCCGCCCGCCTCGCCGACGCCGCCCGCCTCGGAGCGGCGCGGCGCGCGTGCGCGGCCCCGGCGGCACCGCCGGGCGACGCGGAGGAAGCTCCCCGAGGAGGCTTCGGCGCCTGCTGCCCCCCGCGCGGGCGGCCCTGGCTGCCGCTCCCCACCGGCGCCCCGGACGGGCTCTGCGCCGCCACCCCGGAGGCGGGGCCGCGCAGCCCCGGCGCAGCCTCCGCCGCGGATGCCCCACGCCCTGCCGGCAGCCAAAGAAAAAAATCTCCTCGCTCGCTCCGTGCGCCCCCCCCTCGTGCTCCCGCCGCCTCGTCAAGAGGGGGGGCTGTGTCGGCGCCGCGTCCAGTCCAGGCCTGCCGAATGTAGAGCGCCCCGTTCGTCGCCCAGAGGCGGCGCGGGTATGCTGGATGAGGCAGCATCCGATGGTAAGGGAAGGAGAAGAGGGCGAGAGCGAGGCGTAAGTGGCGGAGGTGGAAGGGGGTCTCTGCCCCAAGTGAAGCGGGTTTCTAAGAAGACCGCCTAGGCTGCGGCATGTAAAATTCCGTGTGTGTGCGTGCCTATACGTGTATATATATATATATACACGTATTGAGAACCGCCGTGCCGTATGCTTCGACGAGATCGCACCGTGCAAACAGTACGATTGATGCAGAGCGACATGTTCCCGCGAGGAGCTCGGTACACTCCACGATTCTGCTTACACTCAATGTCCCCGCGCGCAGCTCGCGGTAGATTCTAGGGTGCCAGAGTTTTTGCGACGGCTGTTATGTTGTTTGCGGTGTTTATTGGTCCGCCCATGGACAGGGTTGGGAAGACGGTTCTGTCCCCCCAAAGTCCAGGGGCTCAGTCCGACCACGCCAGCGGTCCACGCGGATCGACGTTCGGAGCTCATGCTATATTCGAAGATGCACTTGCAGCTCCAGTGCCGAGAGCAGCGGAGCCTACGAATTCGGCGGCTGGGCTCCGGCGGGAGGGCCTCGTACCATCTGCTGGGGCGACGATATATATATATATATATGTATGCATACATACATACATACATGCATACATACAGACATACATGCATACATGTATACATGTATATAACACAGATGTATATGTATACATACATGTATGTGCACACGTAAACATAATAGATATAAAAAATGTTCAAAAGCGCGTTCGTAGCACACTTCTCACAGAAAGGGGGGCCCCATATTCAAGCTACACCCCCCTCCCTCGGAAAAGGCGGGGGGGGCTTCCGAAACTACCCACCCCCTTTTTACGATTTGTCTTAGCTGAGGGGGCCCTAGCTGAAGCGTGTGCGGGGGGGGGGGGGCTTGAGCGCTACCCCTCCCCTCCCCCCTTGTCGGGGCCCGGGGTCAGCACGGGCTCCCCTTTCAGGAGGGGGGGGGGCTTCTGAGGCGACCCCCCCCCCTCTTTTGCTTGGAATTTGCAGCTGCGGTGTCCCTGCCTATAGGGGAGGGGGGGGCTTGGAAGCCACCCCCCTCCTCCTTTTCGGGGCCCGGGGTCAGCCTGGGCTCCCCTTTCCAGAGGGGAAGGGCTTCCGAAGCTACCCCCTCCTCCCCTCCTCCTGTTCGCGTTTCCAGCAGGAGGGCCCTGGCTGAAGGGGGAACTTCGAAGCTACTTCTCTTCTTCGTTTTTCGGCGCCCCGTTAGCCTTCGGCGTACTTGTGGTCATCGGCGTCTCTTTGGTTTTCGGCGCTCCTTTGATTTTCGGCGCACCTTGGGCCTTTGGCCACTCTTTGGTGTTCGACGGTTCTTTGGTTTTCTGCGCTCCTTTGGTTTTCGGCGCTCCTGTGGTTTTCGGCGCTCCTGTGGTTTTCGGCGCGCCTTTGTTTTCGACGCTCTTTTTTGTTTTCTGCGCACCCTTTGGTTTTCGGCGCATCGTTGTTTTCGGTGCATATTTGGGTTCCGGCGCCCCTTCGGTTTTCGGCGTCTTTTTGGTTCTCGGTGCCTTTTTGATCTTCGGTCCCCTTTCAATTTTCGGCGCCCCTTTGGTTTTCGGTGCTCTTTGGTTTTCGGCACCCGTTTGGTTTTGGGCGCCATTTGGCTTTCGGCGTGCCTTGGGTTTTTGGCGCTCGTTGGTTTTCGGTGCCCCTTTGGTTGTCGGCGCGTCTTTGGTTTTTCGGTGCCCTTTTGGTTTTCGGCGCATCGTTGGTACTCGTCGCCCCTTTGGTTTTCGGCGCCTCTTTCGTTTTCCGCGCTCGCTCCGTCTTCGGAGCTTCTGTTGTTTTCGGCGCCCCTGTCGTTTTTCGGCGCCCTTTTGGTTACCGGGGCTCCTTTGGTATTTCGGCGCCTTTTCTGTTTTCAGCGCATCGTTGGATTTCGGCGACCTTTTGGTTTTCGGCACTCCTTTTGGTTCTCGGCGCCCTTTTTCTTAGGGAGCATCGCTGGTTTTCGGCGCCCTCTTGGTTTTCTGCGCCCCTTTGGATTTCGGTGTCATTTCGGTTTTCGGCGCCCTTGCGGCTTCCAGCGCATATTTGGTTTTCGGCGTTTTTTTTGTGCTCGGCGCTTTTTTGGTGTTCATCCTCCTTGGGTTTTCTGCGCCCCCTTGTTTTTTGGCGCCCATTTGGTTTTCGGCGCCCATTCTGTTTTCGGCGCTCCTTTGGTTGTCGGCGCTCTTGTGGTTGTCGGCGCCCTTTTGGTTTTCGGCGCTCCTTTGGTTTTCGGCGCCGTTTTGATTTTCGGTGCCCTTTTGGTTTTCGGCGCCCATTTGGTTTTCTGTACCGTGTTGGTTTTCGGTGCGCTTTTGGTGTTTGGAAACCCTTCGGTTGTCAGCGCCTCATTGGTTTTCGGCGCCCCTTTGGTTTCCAGCCTCCTTTTCAAGTTCGGCGCCTCTTCGGTTTTCGGCGCCTTTTTGGGTTTCGGTACTCCTTTGGTATTTCGGCGCCCTTTTTGGTTTTCGGCGCCTCTTTGGTTTTCGGCGCCGCGCTGGTTTTCGTTTTTTTGTTTCGTTTTCAGCGCCTCTTTGGTTTTCGGCGTTCGTTATGTTTTCGGTGCCTTTTGGTTTTCGGCGCCCCTTTGCTTTTCCGCGCTCTTTCGGTTTTCGTCGCTACTTTGGTCTTCGGCTCCCTTTTGGTTGTCGGCGCCCTTTTGTTTGTCGGCGCCCCTTTGGTTTTCGGCGCTCCTTTGGTTTTCGGCGCTCCTTTGGTTTTTGCCGCCCTTTGGTTTTTGCCGCCCCTTCGATTTTCAGCGCACTTTCGGTTTTCGGCGTTCCTTTGATTTTCGGCGCGCCTCTGGTTGTCGCACCCTTTCGGTTTTCGGTGGCTCTTTGGTTTTCGGCGCTTTATTGTTTTCGGTGCCCTTTGGTCTTCTGCGGCCCTTCCTGTAAAACCCCGCCCTAACGTAGACTACCCACCTAACGTAGCCCGGACATCGGAGACACCAAACCCGGCCCGCGCGGAATGGACGTGGCACCTGCATTTTGGCGACGCGTTTGTCCCGGAATGATGCTCCGGCTTGTGCGTGGGCCACATCTCTGATTAAAAGTGTTGTTTGCCGCCTAGGTGCCAGCGACATCCCTCATTGAGCGCGTTGTTCTCGCTTGTGCGTGGGCCACATCTCTGGTTGAAAATGTGCATGCCGCTTAGGGGCCAGCGACGTCCTTCATTGAGAATGTCGTTCTCACCTTGGCGCCAGCCAAATGTCTGATTGAAAATGCTGCTGTCGCCTAGGCGTTGACTACATCCTTCATTGAGCATGTCGTTCTCGCCTTGGCGCTGGCCAGATCTTGGATTGAAAATGTGGCTGTCGCCGAGGCGCCAGCGACATCCTTCATTCAGCATGTCGTTTGCGCCTTGGCGCAGGCCACATGTCTGATTGAAAATGTGTGTGTTGCCTTGGCGCTGACTACATCCTTCATTGAGCATGTCGTTCTCGCTGTGGTGCCTGTCACATGTCTGATGGAAACTGCTGCCTTCGCACAGGCGCTGGCAACATCCACGATTACAAACTTTGCTCTCGCCGCAGCGCCGGCCCTCCCACGATTGCGAGAATTACTCTCGCTTTAGCGCTGGCCACATCCATGAGGCAAATGTTGCTGTCGCTTCAGCGAAGCCGCACCCACGATTACGGAAGTTACTCTCGCCCGAGCGCCGGCCACGTCCAC